CAAGTTTAGAAGAACTAAACAAAGTCTGTAAAAATGTTGAAGGATTTTCACCAAAGCCAATGACTCTTTTGGCCTCATTATTCAAAGTACAGGATGATGTAACAAAATTGGATTTGAGGTTGAAGATTTCAAAAGAAGAGAAAAACCTTGGCTTATTTATAGTTAAAAATAGGAAAGATTTAGTTAAAGCAACAGACAGTTCTGAACCATTGAAACCCTATCAAGACTTCATTATAGATGTAAGTATGTATACTAGGCTTGGGTAGAATGTAAGTTATCTTCACAACTGTAGAAATGTACTAAAACTAAGACCACAATTCTGCGGATTTTAATTATAAATGAAAAGTTCCATATTGAGCATTTAGTATTTAATTTTAGGATGAGATCACCAGTGTTCAGTGTGATGAAACTAAATATTTGATTTTGGCATTTAGTCTAGGGAACCTGATGCAACTACTCGTGTGTGTGAACTACTGAAGTACCAAGGAGAGCACTGTCTCCTGAAGGATATGCAGCAGTGGTCCATTCCTCCATTTCCTGTCAGTGGCCATGACATCAGAAAAGTGGGCATTTCTTCAGGAAAAGAAATTGGAGCTCTGTTACAACAGTTGCGAGAACAGTGGAAAAAAAGCGGTTATCAAATGGAAAAAGATGAACTTCTGAGTTACGTAAAGAAGACCTAAGATTGATGGCTAATAAAATCCAGAAAATTTGGGGTAATATATGTTTTTTTTAACCTTCCTTCTTAGTGAGATTTAGAAAACTAAAGAGTAAGGGTAAGAGTTGTTTGGGGCCACACATTACATACACAAACGCTAAAGAGAGCCATTGAGCAAAAAAAGTCTGTGTATACTTTTGCTTATCTGTGGTGGTGGATACTGCAAAAACAGTCCTCAAAAAATATGCAGGGGGCCCATGGGCTGCAGGTTGGACACCCCTAGACATTTTCTATTTTTGTACAGGGCAGTACTTAACTAAGATTGATTTTAAAAAGGTAGTTGTCTTCAAAAACAAATGTCTATTGTTTGCAAGTGAAATAACTGTTTAATATGACTATCTGTAAATGTCACTTATCTGAATTCCAAAATAAACTTGTGCCTGAAAAGAAAAAAAAAAAGAAAAGTTTTGATTTTTAAGGAATTTTGTTTATAAAAATAGTTTATTCCCCATTGTTATAAAATGATGCAAAATAATCTTTCTGGTACAAATTGAGAAATGAGACCTACCTGGAGTATCAGAATAAACTCTAGTTGTCTGTTGTTCTTGCTGCTCTAGGATGCAGGGAAGTTGCTTGGAAGTGATGCCGCCCTTTCTCACCTTGCTTTTAAGCTCCGTTCACTGCTGCCAGAGCACTGTCTAGTTGAGGGCTAACTTTCTGTCCTTATTGAGGCAAGCCCTTTTGTGTATCCTGCCTCTTGCCCCAAGAATGATGAGCTTTTCCACCCTAGCTAGTGGGAGCAAAAATTCTTTCTAAGCAAGAAGTGAGGGTAGAGTATTACTAGTCTATTATGAGGGTGCTTGTTTGTTTTTGTTTTTTGCCTGAAGCCACGGTATTTTCTTTAGGTTCTTTCGCTGATGACCTGAACAGTCTACAAGAAAGCTCTGCAGGTCTCTGAACGATCCCTCTTTGCTCTCTCCCTCTCTGCTCTCTCTCACTGTCTCTCTCCCCCTCTCCGTTTCCCCCCTCTCCCCTCACCTGTCTCTCTCTTCTTTCTCTGGGGCTCCCTCCTCTTGGACATCCTCTTTTTTCAACCCCCGTGGCCTCCCTGGACTTCCAGCTCTTTGCTTGAGTCTCCCCTCCTCACGCCACGGTCTGGAAAGGTTAATGTCACTAAGCTGGAACAAACGTAGGGTCTGGGTTTGTTCTGCCCAGTAACTTTCTCTCTCCTCTCTCTCTTTAGTATTTAGTGTTTTTAAGACACAAGACACTGTCATGTGTTTTTCTCCTTTTTTTACTTGGTTCAAGCAAAAAGTTATGCTTGATCCTTTTGATCAAGTTATACTTGATACTTTATTTTGGTGAAAAGCAGAAATAATTCAAAACATTTTAATGTGTACACTTCTCGTTGTTCATAAATGCCTCCAAAGCAAAGCTTGGATTTTATTCTTACGACTCCTCAATACAAGCCACATGTTCTGTCCATTCTGAGTTGTTTATCGCCTCTTAATACATCTCATGTTTAAATATGTGTTAAGCCTCATACTTGGGACAAACTAGTGGTCTTGCCTGGGCTCATTTTCATTAAAGAAATGCTACTACACACTCCTAAGAACACAGAACTCTTGGGTTTTCACGCTGGTTGTCTCAAGTCCAGAGGGAAAATATCACCTTTCATTCAAAAATGTTTCTTCACTGCTAAAATTACAAGGGTTGCGCTAGATGAGTAATTTCCCAGGAATTAAAGGTAGTGAAAGACAAGCGTCTCTATGGGGAGCTGTCCAAGGTCCTACTCACTTGTCTCCTCAGAATCAGAGAACTTTTGCAATGACCACTAACATAGGAAAAGAGATAGTAATCGCTACATCCTGCCCAGCTCTAAACTTCTCCGCTCAGTAGATCATTCCATTCCATTCATCTTCTTTCCTTCTGTTATGTTTTCTACAACCCATATTTATTGAGCACGTAACATGTTCTAGACAACTGGCAACATGAAGGAAAAAAGATATATATTCCAATTTAAGCAAAATTCTGCTAAAACTATTCCTTTCCCGCTTAGATGTTGTTTATCTCTTTCTATTTCCTTGACATACATAAGGAGATGTAATTTTCTCCTAATCTCAAATATATGGACACCTTTCTTATGGAACTGACCACCTATTTTGAAGGTGGTTGATTATCGGTGGAAGTGTGATTATCAGTGGTTGAAGTGTGATTATCGGTTTCATGCCCCTGCCCCATTGGTTAGATTATGATAACACCACGGTCAGTACTGTCTCTGTGGTGCCTCAGTGGATGCACAGTTTATTATCAAAGAGATGCTATAAAGTGTTTATTTCCAATTCCTGTAGTAATAGCATAAAGGAGGGGAAATGGAACAAAACAAAAGTGTACAAATGACAAAGAATACTTCCTCTTGTCTTCACTGTCACCATACTCAAATACGTTTATCAGGGGTAAGGAATGTTCATATTTGGGGAATACATCGTTCCAGAGCTTTTCTCTAGGTGCACATAACAAACATGGAATCTTTTATTTTGCATTTTTTTAATTTCTTTCACTTTACATGAATCTTGAGCATCTTTCTGTGACAGTACATATAGATCTGTCTCATTCTTTTAAAAGACTTTGCAATACTTTAGATAAATAAATGCCTGGATCAGGGCAGGATGAGCCCAGATAAGCTCCTCGTATACAATATCTAACTCCCAGAAGGTGAAATATGAGCCGTGACAAACAGAAAGTCATGGAAATAATGCACCACTGTTCCTCACACAAATGAGCCCAGTGTAATATGTAACAAAATCAGGAGGGCAGAGACTCGGAGGTAAACTTTGCATTGGTTTTTTTTTTAGAAACTTTGATGGTGAATTGTTACATGTTATTTCTGCTAAGCTCACAAATAAAAAGCTGCAAAAAAAAAAAAGTAGGAAGGTTTGTTTTCCAAAATGGATGCTACTTAGAAATACATTTCCTGGCTCGGCGCCTATAGCTCAACCGGCTAAGGCGCCAGCCACGTACACCTAAGGTGGCGGGTTCGAATCCCCAGCCCGGACCCGCCAAACAACAATGATGGCTGCAACCAAAAAATAGCCGGGCGTTGTGGCGGGCGCCTGTGGTCCCAGCTACTTGGGAGGCAGAGGCAGGAGACTCGCTTGAGCCCAGGAGTTGGAGGTTGTTGTGAGCTGTAATGCCACGGCACTCTGCCCAGGAGGACAGCTTGAGGCTCTGTCTAAAAAAAAAAAAAAAAAAAAAAGAAATACATTTCCCAAAAATGAGGTAATTAGGTTCAATCTAAGACATACATTTTGTGACATGAATTAGATACTAATGTACTTATTAATTTAATCTGTCATAGAAGGGGAAAATAAGGGGTGGTACATTTTTAAAAGGGATTTTTCTCTGATACATACAGATAATGCAGATTTAAAGCAAGATAAGCTTAGAGGGAAAGGAAGCTGCCAGCATAGGTTTTTCTAGAATTTTTGTTACATATATAAATTGTACGTATTTCAATTAGTTATAGAGTTATAGAAAAATTAATATGCTGGCATCTAAACATTTTATTTTAAATGTTAAGTCTTCAGACAATTTGGACAATTTCCATCATTATATGTGTTAAGCCCTACCATCAAAGAATCTCCTATAAATAGCCATTAAAAAGGTGATGATTCTAAAAGAAGATGCTAAATACTTTTTAATGATAGAAATAAGAAGAGATTCCCATAAAAACAAGACCTCAGTATCTAGGAGTAGTAATAAAATTATACTTTGTCAATATTTATTTTGTAGAACCAGTTTCTGGAAATTTAGTATCTGAAGTAGTCTGTTTGAAAATGACTTCTGGCTCTGTTATTTCCTGACTCTGTAAACCTGGGTAGGAGAATTTTTCTGGGTTTCATTTCTTGCATCTGTAAAACGCATAGAATACTAATTATTTCAAGATTTGTTCTAAGAGTTAAAGGAGTTTACATACGTGAAATATTCAGTTATTTTCTATTATAAATTGCTCAGGATAGATAGCTGTACTTAATTTAATTCATACCAAGTATGTGCTTTGAGAAGCACATACTGTCCAAAACATCTTAGAAGGTGAACAGGATTATTTTGAGATTCAGAATGGTAAAAGCAGCCATCTTAGGGACTAATTCACATCCCCGGAACAGCTAGGAGGTGAAAGAAGAGTGATCAGACCACAAGTCGCTGTGTCCTCAGGGCCTGCCTTCCTTCTTTTATATCCCACCTTGAACCCTTACCATGAAATGGCACTGATCTAGAACCTCTAACACTTTTGCCCTTTTGGTGAAGCATGCTCTTTTTTTAAGCTTTCAACCTTTTAATCTTATTGTCTTCTAAGTTTTCAGAATGAAGATGTTGCTATGTGTGAGGGACACCCATTCAGTACTGCACACAGAAGTAATGTTAATAATTTTTTGAGACTACTTTGACACAAGTCCACTGGACAATGGACACACACACACACATACATGCATAAATATGTACTCATATAAAACGTAGGTGAAACAAAGCAGATGGACAGAGGTCCAACAAGAATCTGCAAGAGGGACACCGTGATCGATGATCCAAGCGTTCCTGAATGCTGCGGCCATTCTTCATATACATCTGGATCAGGATTAGACACCTTAACTTCTTGTACTTGCTATGCAACAGTTTACTCGTAGCATCTCTGAGCAACTTCTGTCCCTCACACACCATCCTCTGTCTATAGCCACACACACATGCACACACACATTCACACACTCACATACACACAGATACATACATTATTCTCTTACCCCGGTCCTGGAGACCTTTCTGCCCCGTACGGCTGTGAGATCAGCTCCTTAATGCATGGTAAACACAGAGCTCTGAACATAGCAGCACTCATAAGCATAAAAAGCTGCTAACCGAGAGGTCTTTAGGAGGAAAATCACTCTAAAATGTTTCTTCTTTAAAGTGTAATGATTTTTGTTTTACATTTGAAACAGTATGCTACTGTCATAAGAGAGTTTATTAACAAAGCTCTTCTGAGAGGGATCTTATTTAGAAAATAAAAACTCATGGAAATAAAGGGACTGGGGATAAGAAGAAAACAATTATTTGGTCTGCATAGTTCTCCAGATGCCAAAAATGTTACAGTCATAATTTTACAATTTATTATCGAGGTTTTTCCCTTTCCCGATTTTCATCAGATGAGCAGACACAAAAAAGCATTATTACCCTTCAGGTCCAAACTGACAGCCCATTTTACCAAGAAAGGCCTTTTGTCACTGT